TGGCTGCAGGAAGGCCCCCTTCTCTATCTCCCACGGTGCGGTCACCCCAAGGACTGTCAAGGAAGGGTCTCCGCCAGGCGATTTCCAGGCCGCAGGAAGTAGGAGGCGCCCAGGAAGCAAGCACAGCGCATGTCACGCATGCCTCCTGGCCGCACGCACGCTTCCGCTCGTCTTCTATTGGTGGGAGCTCGGTCACGTGGCTACACCTGCAAGGGAGGCTGGGAAACGGCGTCCAGACCCGCCCCCGCGTGCCTGGCTGTGAAGCGTCCGCCCTTGTGCGAGGAGGAGAAAGTGTGTGTCTCCCTCACAACCAGGGACAGCTGCGTGAGGATGGGAGGCGGGGGTGTCCCCCTAGCCTGCAGAAAATCTGCCACATCCTTCCTTCCCTTTGTGTGGGGTTTAGCTTTTTCAGAAGGTTCTCACGGATGCCCCGTCGTGTCCTTCTCGCAGCAAAACTGCAAGGCGGGAAGAGCCGGCGTTAGTGAGGAGAAGCGCTGGGGGCCCAGCCTGATTGCAATCCCAGCTCTGTCGTCTACTAGCCGTGTGACCTCGGGGCACTCGCTCAACTCCTCGGAACCTCACTTCCCTGAGCTGTAACACAGGGATGTTGACTGTCGACTTCACAGGGTCGTTTACTCCCTGGTTGTGTGGATGAAAGGGGACAGTCCTGTCGGGCGTGTGTGGCGAGCACTTCACAGATGGGGAAACTGAGGCTCAACTCGCGTGGCTTGCCTAAAGATTCAAAATCCGGGCCTCTAACTTCCAGTGCGACTGTACCTCAAGGCATAGCTCTTGCGGGGCGCACAAGATGGGCAAGTCGCTTGCCCAATTGAATGAAAATCAAGAGTGTCAAAAGAGCACGAACTATGCAGATTAGAGCAGGAAATCGAAGGTGGTTGTGCAGAGAAAGGAGCAAGGAGAGAAGAGAGAAGGAACAGGGATGGGCGGAAGGGGCATAGGGCTGTCGGAGGCACTAAGGCCCTGAAGTTCTCGTTGTCCAGAAAGGGAAACTGAGGCCTGAGGCAGTCACATGCACCTCCGGCAGCCAGAGAGCTGCCGAAGCCCGGAAGGAATCGCTTCCCGCTGGAGAACTTTCTCATTCTGGGGAGAAGTGCGAGGCAACCACCTGATCCGCTTCGGCGCCCCCCCCCCCCCCCCCCCCCCCC